ACAAGGCAACTTTGTGTCAATTTTGATCAAATTGATAACACCGATTACATTTTAATCAATCGAAAAACACTAACAACTTAATCAATGAGACAAAATCATGAATCCTGAGTTAATTGAGCCAATTGAAATTAGAAAGACTGAAATTATAAATATCAAAATGACATAAGGACCGAAATATAAAAAATATCAACGTAATTTACACAAGTATTATTATAACTTTAGAGGAATACTCAAATATTTCATCAATATACTTGAGATGAATATAAAACTACTATTTTCATGTGCTTTTTCCTATCCTAATCATAATTTAATATGCATCAACATATTAATGCGTATATTTAAAGTGTTTTTCAATAAAAGACTTGTAGGAAGAGTTAGATTAAAGATTTGAAGAAGAATTTGGAAGGCAAGGACAAATTGTCACAGAACATTTTTTAGGATACACCACATCCACATATAATATATTAACATTGTTTTACCCCAAACATTGCAACTGTCAGTTTACAAAGACAAAATCCAACAACAGCAACACAGTCAACATTTTTTTTAACAGGAACAAAAGAAAGATTTTATTAAGATGGAAAAGAGAAGAAAAATATACACAAAGAGGACAAGCAACACACAGTCAACATTGCCAAGTAAAAAAATTAACGAGGATAGAGGATCTTACTTAACAGCCCCATAACCAACTGCCTCAGCTGTTTGATCAAGCTCCTCCTCTGTCCATTCATCAGCTTTACCTGATCAAGATTTGAAGAGATTATATCAAAACTTCAGTTTTAACTAATGTATCAAAAAGATGAGATGCTATATCATGCATGAGTTCATAGATATGAGGAACATAAAAAGCGCTACCTTGCTATTATTATACCTCGTTCTACAAGAGCTGCTTTACAGTGACTCTTTGCTTCATCCAACAAATCAACTAATCGAACCACTTCGGTACTGCGAGTTCGAAATCGTTTCCCATCCTCTCCAAGAACAAGAGCAAAACCCACATGGTTAGTTTTAGGATACATATTCTCACCAGCTGGAAGCCAACCAGCACGTTTCACAGCCTAATAGAAGGAGAGATAGAAAGGAAGGCCGTCAAACTCACAGTGGTATGTTACCCATATCTCTACAAAGCATGAAAAGTCATGAAGCACAGGACATGGCATTTGATACTTACAGTGAAAAACATTTCAAAGTGCTCTCGCTGGCCAACATCAGTTACATAGATTATCCATTCAGCTTTTTCTTCATTAAGATGATACCTAATTATTGAAAGCAGCTGGTTTAACTGAAATGCACTCATTCCACTACCACTCCAACAAAAGGTGCACAAGCAATGCATGTCCAACCATGACATTTAAGTTCAAATAGCAGTCACATATTACCCAGGTAAACTTTAAAAATGGGTTATAAAATTCCATCTAGCAGATCTCTTTTCAATCACATGAACCACAAGATGATTCTATCATATAATTTATATCTTTAAAGGAAGAAACATGGAGAGATGCATTATATAAATCATGCAGATCAGATGGTAGATTAAACATATATGAGTATAGATGCAAGAATGAATGACATATAGAAGGGTCATATAATTTACACTTTTATCAACTCCAAATTTTAAAACACTAACCAAAGAGCCGCAAGATCAGTGGAAGCATAGTTGAAACCACCATCCTTCTTCACAACAATTAAAGGTATATTTTTCCCCTCAATAAAGATCACACGAGCACCTTCACTTTCTTCAATTAATCCTTTCTTATCCAATTCCTCTAAAACTCCAGGTATATATGGGTTGTAAAAGCTTTCTTCCTGACGGGAAGGCAAAAAACAAAATAATTACTAGTGATTTTGCCACTCAATCATAGGAACAGTTGATTTCATGAGTACGATATGTTCATTACTCATATGAAATTCAAATAAGGGCAAATCATGCCACCATCTAACACTCCCTGCAACTTCACTTCCAAATAGGGTTTTAAATAGCATGTGCAACAATAATCAAATTCAGGAATAAGCATAATGTAAGACTTATAAGAGAGAGAGAGAGAGAGTTGCTATATATCACAAAAAGTCTTCACCCCCTACGTGTTTCCCATGTGTCATGGTAAGTCTTCACCCCCTACTAGTTCTATTGAATTAAGTAATTTGCTTGAGTCCAAAATAAAAAAGAATAAACAATGATAAATTACATTTATGGGCCTCTGGCCTCCCATACTGTAAGCTTGTACCATACTAATGTCCTCATTGCATATGCAATAATGTAATTCAACCAAGATTCATAGTCTAGTCTTGCCACAGTTCTTGTGCCCACTAATTTAAAGTAATCTTTTAGTTATTACAGCTATACAAGAAGTAACTAAGATGACGAAATAACAATGTTTTGCCTTTGTAGAATTGTGATCTTAGATATCAAGCTAGCATCAGTTCAAGTAGTCATACAAAATGGCCAACCTGATAACATCAGTCAAAATATAAAGTGACAATGACTTAAAGCAGATACATTTGAATCAGATGAAATATACAATTGCTGGGGCAGGGGGCTGTGAACCATAAACCAAGAATGTTCTATTTTTAGCATGCACGCTATAGATTGAAATCAAAAGTTGGTGTCTTTTTTACATGGCTCCATGGCGCAGAAAACAGGTGTGGAAAATACAATCAATGTTTGACATTGTCATTAGTTAGAAAGAAAAATATCAGTTAAGTACCTTCTCCTCTATCTTAATTCCTAGGCGTTGATAAACTCTTTGATATCGCAGATTTGTGCCCATGCCTTTCGATACTTCTCTTCCCCACCCTGTGATACAAGTTATGCCATAGGAAATGAGACCAAATAAGATAAATGATGAAACATAATGAAACCTCGAGGTAAAATCATTAACCAGATTTTCTTCCTAAACGAAAAAACAAAATTTATAGTTTATAAATCAGATTTCCTCCAAAATAGAAAATTGAAATTTATAGCTTTTAAGTTGTTTTACAAATGAGAAATTTAATTATTACTATAATCAACCTCACAAGTCTTTAAGGCATAAAGGTAAGTGATTCACCTGGAGACTAACCACCGCTTGTTGTGCCCTCTCCTTGAATCCAGGATCACTGTCAAATCTTTGCTTTGATGCCTTATAGAAAGCCTAATAACAGCATTCAAGTTAAATCAATAATACCCACTTTCATTGAATTTCATGATTCATTTCAATGAAAAAAATTTGAATCAAAGGCATAAGTTGCTCAAAGCAGCACAAGCAACTAGTTACTTGAATTGTTTGCTAATCTAACCAAGGGACTTGGTTGCTTGGATGTAGCATAAAACATATTCAAGTGACATGAAGAAGTATTCTGTCTGTACCAATTCAGGAAATGGACCTAATTTCCAAAATTTTTATCTCACCTCGAGATCTCCGATAGCTTGATCATTGACAACCTCCACATTTGGAAATTTTTCAAAAAGAAATTCTATTAGCATTCCAAACTGCAAAACATAAATAATATCTTTAAGACATAATAGGAAAGTAACAAAAAATTATTGAAATAGACTTTCATAATTCAGACAGCAAAGAGGCCATAATATTATCACCTTCTAGAGCAACAATAATCAATAAAAAATTTAAAAGAGTATAATTTTTCCACTTAATACAATTATACAAGAAGGGTCTGTTGGAGTTCCTTCTTCCACCACATATTAGGGAAGGAAAAGGCACCAAAGAACTTCAAACTACTGTTGTTCACCCAAGAAATTATTTTGATCCAAATGAAAAAGTTAACTCATAAAATGGGACAACCCATGACTAAAACCCTCATCAAAAAATAAATAATTTTAACAGAACTTATATAAAATTTCAAGATAAAAGAGAGAAAACAAACACACATACAAAATGCATGTGCTCACACACACACACACTTACCTGTGTACCCCAGTCACCAACATGGTTTCTCCGAAGAACCTCAACATTTGAAAACTCTAGCATGCGGGCTAGAGTGTCTCCAATAATTGTTGATCTCAAGTGGCCGACATGCATTTCTTTAGCAATGTTGGGTGAGGAAAAGTCAACCACTGCCCTTTTGACTGTAAGTTTTGGCGACCATGTTTCAATACCATTTATTAGCATCTTTTGGATATATATACAGGAGATTTATATACATCATTATATGTGATATCACATACTATTTTTTTATTACTAAAACAACTATATAACTATGTGATTTTTGCAAAATGAAACGATTTAACATTCTAAACATTAGCCAATATCTTTAAGTCAAGTAAGTTATTCCTCACCGAGGGAGTAATTTTTTCAGCAAAAGAAAAATTTTGACACCCAACTAGTTGGGCTATATATGGCTTTGCTGTATTGAGATAAAATTATACCTTGATGTGGGCAGTCTCGTTGGATGTAATTGTACTACCAATGGAGAGCTGGACCTTTCCAACACATTCGTGATCATCATGGTAAATTTGCCACCACCGAATTCTATCATTCTGCATGGTTTGGATTACCAGATCATGTAACTTGCCAAATCAAATTAAAAAAAGCTCCATTATCAGAATATAAATAGATGATACATACAGGATTTTCAGTCAATGATGCAATTGGAATTATTGCTCGACCATGGATAGTTTTCTTGGTATCCTGGACTTCGAGTAAAAGAGCATCACCTTGGTTCTCTGGGAAACTGATATTCATGCACATAGTAAGATTTTTTTTAATGTTAATGGTAAACATAACCGAGTATCATTGAACAAATGCGATCTCAAGGGTTCACTAGCAAACATTATACGAGTATGCCTAGTATACATCTTAATGTCAAAGACCATCAAAATCACCACAATTCAAGCTGCTAACAACAACTAGCCAACATGGTTCAACTTGAGTGCCTTCTAACTCTTTGGGTTGGTGGGTAAGCATGACACTGACGAACCTGTAATCCTTTCATAAAATACAACCGAATACAAAAGATCTTACTCCCAACTAGTTTCTACTACTACAATGTGGATTCCATCTTCCTTTTAGTCCATCATTCAGACAATTTTTTCTACTAAATTAGGAGCTTTTACAATAATAAAACAAATCAAAATACAATTCACTTTATTTTGACTATAAAGAGTCACTTTATAATGTTAGTAACAAGAATTCACAGAATTTTTTTGACTTAGAAATCAGTGCTTTGAAACAGAAGAACCACCATCCATAAATAAGATACAACACATGATAATAGCCAGTTCCAGGCCTCAAGCAAATAGCAGAACCTTGTTCATCTTGAGTATCTTCTGTAGAACTCTTCAGGTGAAATAGGCATGACAGCCACTCTGCAAACATGACAGGAATTTCTAATCATCTAACTGAATCAATACAGATGGGAAACCAATACTCAATACACACACAGTTAAAATCAAATGTGTAAATGAGAAGAGAAGAATGCATGTGAAGTGGGAATAGCCTTCAAAGAATACTGCCTACAGACATTTCTTTTCTCCTATTGTCCTCAGATGTCCAAAGGTTTGTGCCTAGGAATTTAAATGGAGGCCTACTTCGAAAATTTTACTGATTATACTATCTTTCTTGGTATCTAGGTTCCTAAACTAGTCATGATTATTTAATCCTTTTTAAAGTAATCTTGATTTTCTATGTGTGATTGATAAAAACTAGATAGATAAAGTAAAGCAAAGATTAAAAATAGATCAATGTGTCAAGAACGGCAAACCTTCAGATGTCACCGACAAGGGCAGGTGCCGAGGGGGAAACAGAGGAGCCATTGGAAAGGGTTTTGGAGCTGGCCCAGAACCAGCGGGTGTCGCGAATCTCGAAGGCGGAGGAGAAGAGGAGGCCGGTGAGCTGCGGTGGCGATGTTCGATGGTGGAAGATTGACGGACACTGGTCGTGTGCGATGCTGAGATGAGGGCGGTGGTGATTGATTCTCTGTGTGATAGAGAGAGACAGAGGGAGAGCAACAGAGAAAGAACCATGTGAAGAAGTAATAGATTTGGGCAAAAATTTAGGCGCCAATATAAAATATTTTCCAGTAAAATTTTGAACACATCTGCGACTAAATTTTAGTCGCTGAAGATAGGTTACCAAAGATTAAAAAAAAAAAAAATTATTTGGCGACTAAAATAATTTTTTGTCGCTGAAAGTAAGTTTTTGGTGACTAAAACTTTAGTTGCCAAAGAGAAAAAATAATTTTTTTATTTTCCATTCGACGACTAAATATTTTAGTAGCCAAAAGTCAACATACGGTGACTTTTTTTTTTGTCGCTGAAAGTAAGTTTTTGACGACTAAAACTTTAGTCGCCAAAGAGAAAAAATAAATTTTTTATTGCCCATTCGAAGACTAAATATTTTAGTAGCCAAAAGTCAATATACAGCGACTAAGTTTTTTTTTTTTGTCGCCAATTCTGGCATTTTTAGCGACTAAATTTTTTTTTAGTCGCCAATAATGAATATACCCCGACTAAAAAAAATTAGTAACTAAATATTATACTTTTTGCGACAAAAAAAAAAAGTTGGTCACCAATCCCATAACTTTTGACGACTACATTTTTTTTAGTCACCAAAGGTGCATTTTGTTGTAGTGTAAGCAAAAATATGTCACTACCTTAACCGAAATTATAATATCAAGTTGATTTGCAAACCCATCACAATTTATACTCAAAAACAAATTGAAGAGATGTATATCTAGTCTAGAGCTACACAGGGAATATACATACATACACATACATATATAGGGCCATAGACACCCAACCACCCATAGAGTGAGAGTTATTTCTATTTCTAAGGAGTAACAAGTCAAAGATTAACCAAGCAAGCGATGACTGCTGAGCAGTATATATGAACAGCCATAAATGTCATGTTGTCAACTTCATGTTTTCTCATATCATTCAAATCATAAACGACCAATTAAGTGGTTGCATTCCATATTTTCCTCATTTTGAACTATAAACAAATATTAGAACAAAATAATAACGAAATCACAACAAATAAAAGGTAAATAGTAATTAACGTGTAACTATACAACATTACATATATACACATGGCCAATAAAACAAAATACATATATACATGAACAAATATATACAAGTACCTGTATGAAATGGGGGCTTGGCTTTGATTTGGTTTCTCAAACAAAACAAATCTTGAAATCTCTTTGAACCTGTGTCAAAACAAAGTGGGCTAAAGACAAGGCCCTTCCTGCCTATTTTGATACAAACAGAACAAGGCAGGAATTTACCGCCACGAAGCACATGTCCAAATCAAAAAGCAAGGCAAATAGATTAGTAGAAATGCCCACCATAGATGCAAACCACCATTCCTGACATACACTCGCATCATCCTTCATCTTCTACCATCCACCATGACTAGCCAGCAACCAACCTCTACTCAATCCGTCTGAAAATAATAGAGTGTGCATGAATCGACCAATTCACCTGCTAATTTTTGTTTCCTTTCATCACACAATTCAAGAGATGGTATGTGGTTTGTCCGCTCTTTCGATTTCTAGAGATACGTCCATAGTACAAAGATATAATTTTGAGCTACAGTAAGTCGCCTCCACTCTGCGCCTAACTATCATGGCAGCACCACCGATTCCCATGGGATATCATACAAATACTAATCAATTTAAAATTCTTTAAACTGAAAGAAAATGATCCAGCTCTTATAAATTTTGAAAAACCTTAAGCAGTAACCAAATACCATGGTTCAAACAACATATTACTCAACAGTAAATGTGATGCATAGTAGCAATCTGTCCAACAGACCAGGTAAAATTCTAGAACCATTAAAACATAAATTTAGCATAAAAAGAGCCAGCAAATTTTTATACATTCACCAGTAATAGCAGAATAATTGGCATAGAGAATTCGGTATATATATAATAAAATAGAATAGTTACCCCGGGTAGCCTATAAAAATTACAACCTTAACTCTGCCACAGATTAGTCAGTTCACAGAATTGCGTAAAACTTTTGGTTGCCTTAACCCATTACTCTGTTACAATATCCATTAGAAGACATTACAAAACAATAAACAACAATGCAAAACAATATATCTTGAATAGTTGTTGGCAAATTTTGATTTAACACTAAACCAACAATGTGTAAAATGGAAAGACAAAAGCTATGCAAAAATTGTTTTATTATGAATATAACATTTTATGTGCTCAACAAGCACATAAAATTCCCCTCTACAAAATGAATGTAAGTCTAGTTTCAAAAATCAATCTAATTACATGTGTCGTATATTCTACTCTGCATAACAACAACAACATATTAAACCACACATGAAAATTGATCTACCACTACCCAAAAAAAAAAAAAAAAAAAAAAAACTAAGAGGTAAATTACACTAACACCCCCTAAAGTTTGGTCCAATTATATCCCACGCCCTGACGTTCTGAAAATTATATTCTCACCCATGTGGTTAATAGTCACATTTCACAAATCACCTGCTTATATAAAAGGTAACAACTCCTATTAGAAAAATAGAGGAAATTACATTAAAAAAAATTTAAAAATAGTAAAGGAAAGGAAAGAAAAAGGGAAAAATAAAGGAAGTAAAGCAAAATAAGAAAAGAGAGAGTGTCTGAATCCAATATTTTCATTCCGTCTAAATAATTAGAACGATAGGGGAGTTAGTGAAAATTTTCAAACGTCAGGAACTGATATGTATGAATTTCAAACTTTAGGGGGTCTAAGTGTAATTTATCCACAAAACAAATGACATGAATGCTCAAGAAAAAAAATAGAAGAGAATTCGATGCAGTATTTTTTTATAAATGTTTATAAAAATTGTGAGGGTCATATGAGATTTGATTGTTTTAGTAATTTTTTAAACGGTGAAAAAAAAAAATTAATGTATTTGAGAATAATTTTTTTATTTGTATGGAAAAACATGAGTAGTTGACGAGCTTGACTTAATTTTTAAAGATATATTTTTTTACTCTTTTCAGTGACCGTTTAATTTTTATTTTTATTTTGTATTTAATTTTTGACTCTTTTAATTTAAAAGCCAAGTTGCTAAACGATCATTGAGAATCGTGACATGTGTTGTTTTGAGTAGAATAGTGTCATACAAACTAACAAATCCTTTAATTTAATTTAATTTATTAATTTATTTATTTTTTTAACTTATTAATATGACACTTGTCACATTATTGAAATTGGTCATGTTATCTAAAGTTTCTTATTGCCTAGCACATCAAAATTATTAATTTTTGGATGAAAAAGTATTAGACTTAATATATTACATATTCGATAATAAATCGTTAATTAAATTATATTGAAGTACAAAATAGATTCTGAAATAAATAAAGAGAACCTCTATGCAAAGAGGATACACATAAGGAGAAAAATAAACCTCTATGTAAGGAGGAGAAAACCTCTATGAAATGAGGAGAAAACTTGTAACGCCCCCAAATTATTTAAAAACATAACAATATTCAACATGAAAGATATATATATGATAACAAACAGTGATTTCAAGATTAGTTCTAAAGATTCTATTTCTCATTGAACTACAAGTTGAGAGTCATCAATTACATGTTGAGTTTTCATAGTTCAAAAAGTTAGAGAAAATCATAACAAATGTCCTATGGGCTTACAATCTTTAAGGCAAAGCCTTCATTGAACAAAATGAATCATGGTCCCAAAACTAAACAAAACTTCAACAAAAGATTGATCCCCTTCTACTTTATTTGGGTTGTTGATACTCACCAAGTCTTGAAATTTATTAGATAGGAATGAGCAATTACCCAGCATTGCGATCCTGCTATAATATTGATTTTACAATGATTTAGATCATTTTGACAATTTTTAAACTTGTGATCCATATATATATATATATATATATTCATCAAGTTGGAATGTATCCCATATGCTAAAATTAACAAATGGTTTAAAATCTCTTGACCAAACCATGAGACAGACATAAAGGTTCGGGAAGCTTCACATAACTGCTTATCCACAAAAGAATCAATCAACTTACAAACTGAAAACAATTATATGCGACTCTTAAGGTCATAATTGAGTGCACACGATTAGAAAAGGTACAGGAACTCCACCATCCAGTATCACCACATTAAGTTAGTTGTTTAACTATGACCTATGCCCCCAGCAGCCAAGGACTGGCAAGTCCCTGCATTATATCAGTCAGCGCATGCACAAAAAGCCATACCAATATCTAAGAAAAAGCCAAAAACAGTTGCATGCTCTCCAATGTGCCTACAAATCATTATTCGCAATTGGTTAACAAGCATCAAGCCATCAATTATCCTTCTGGTTTTTCACTTCCTTAGATGTTTTGAGATAAGCCCATAACCTAGTGGGATTATATTGATATTGTCTCCAAAAAACAACCATTTTTAAAAGCCCCTTTCTTCAAAGATTCATAATTTAATTCTCTTTCTTATTTTTCTTTTCATATTTAAAATTAAAATGTTACTAGGCTGAAAAGTACATGATTGAAATAACAAACGAAAAAGATAAACAGTGATCCAACTCTTTCTTTTGATAAGTAACCATGATCCAACCTAACCAAGAAAATTTTGAGTCAAGCAAAAAGTAATTAATAAATCAAACGGTGACACTGAAAAGGAAACGCCATAAATCTATATCTATATCTCATCTTACTACTACAAAAGGTCTCTCTAAAGGTGTAAAACAATTTTAGGAAAACAGTACCCTCTATAGCTCCAACAGATTGTTGGAAATGAAGATTAAGCATGGCGCAATAACAGCTATCATCAATTGTAATGCCAAACTATCATAAAGCCTACAAGATAATTGCATCTCATATGAGATTATCAACTCCAAAATCCATAATTTGGTATACAATTGTCTATTTTCCCTTTCAATTATAAAAATTTCATGTGAGAGTGCTTATAAGTATCCTGGTGTTAGTCTCTCCAAATCAATGGTCTATTTTATCTGATGTTAAAATATGGATGTTTAATAAACCCGAGAAGAAACCACGTAAAGGGTCCATGGTTCAACCGTTGGATTGACCAGAAATGAACCATCACATCATAATCATATCATTAATACATTACAAATAATAGTTAGAAATGAAATAAAATAAAACATAACCAAGACACAACATAACAATTTTCTTTATTCTTTCCTTAGTGTGTGCAAAAATTTTCATTGAAATGCAACCGTTTTCCCACGAAAGAGGAAATAGATAAATTTTGTTTAATTTTATTTTATTTTACTTGCTTGAGGACTA